TTCTCTAAGTACGCTATGCTTATTCATTTGCCTGTTGAAGCTAGAACCGAACTAGTCATCCAAAAGTTTCAAATGCGATGGGTATCTGAGTATGGATTTCCCAAAAACATCATATCAGATAGAAATGTTCAGCTCACTAGTCTACAATGACATTGTCGTCAGGCAGACATCCTGAAACGAATGGTCAAACTGAGCAAATGAATCGTCTCTGTCAACAACTTTTGTGAATGTATGTCCGTCCAAATCAGATTGATTGGGATGAGAACTTGCCTAAAATTGTCAGTGCATATAACAACAGTATACATATTATCACGGGTAGAACACCTAACGCACTGCATAAAGGATGGAAGCCTAGGCGTCCCATTGATGCATTAACGAGGGACCAAATTCAACGGCTACCCCCAGGGACGCGTGAATTCGCAATTTTGTATGAAGAAGACATCAAGAAAGGAAAACATAGAGAAAACCCAACTGCAAATAACAAGCTAACATGCGTCTAAGCTGCTACCTTATGTAGAAAGTGACGATTTTCCAAATAGGCCATCTATGATTCCACCTTCTATGAACGGAGGCTACGAAGTTGAGAAAATATTGGAACATGGATATTTCTCTACAGGTGGCAGAGGACGACCTCAGAAGCAGTACAAGGTAAGGTTAAAGTCCCAACCTCCATCTGAAGCCAGATGTTAGTAGGAAAGAACTACTACCCACTGCTCCTGATATTATTGCTGCATATGAACGTGGGTTAACTGAGAATTAATGAATTTTCTACGATGGAACTCGAAAACCGGGTCGGCAGGAATGCAATAACCCATGCCATATGTCTCGTGGAACTGAGGATCATCAGAGGGCCTACTTGGCCGCCCTCAGCTTAGGCCGAACAAGGGCAGAAAAAGCCCTTCACGAATTTAGGGCCTCGGCATGTGACAGTTGACTTTAGTCAACTGTCGATCCACCCAACAGTCAAAGTCCAAAGGTACCTAGCCCAGGCCGCAGGTCAAGCACACACACTAGTTTGTATGCAGGTACCCAGACAGCATCAGGTCCAAAGGAGAAGTCTGCAATTGTACAATTCGGGCCTTCAGTTGTGAGTCAATCTGGACGACTGAGGGAAAAAGCACCGAGGCCAGACAACCTCGCTCATTGCTACTTAAGGCTGGCCTCGAGAGAGTCAAGGCATTTAGTCTTGCTATGCAGCTTTGACGTTGGCTCGACTTCGACACGACGCTGGCTTCATGTTGGCTGTGCATACATGTTGCGGACGACGGCACAAGGTGGAGGCAGCATGCTGGTGCGTCTTCAGTGCACCATGGCATGCTGACGTAGTGTTGCCTCTGGTGTACGTGGTGCTGCCTTTGGTCTACGTGGCATGCTGCCGTGGCGCTGCCTCTGATATATGTGGTGCTGCCTTTGGTCTACGTGGCATGCTGGCCTTTGGTCTACGTGGCATGCTGACGTGGCGCTGCCTCTGATATATGTGGCGCTGCCTGTGGTCTACGTGGCATGCTGACGTGACGCTGCCTCTGGTATATGTGGTGCTGCGTCTGACTACGTGGCATGCTCATGTGGCGCTGCCTCTTATATACCTGGCGCTGCCTGTGGTTTACGTGGCATGCTGACGTGGCGCTGCCTCTGGTATATGTGGCGCTGCCTCTGGCATATGTGGCATGCTCATGTGGCGCTGCCTCTGGTATATGTGGCGCTGCCTCTGATTGACGTGGCGCTGCTACTGGTCTAAATTAACCATGTGGCCATTGCCACCTGTTTCGATAGTTGGCATGTCATTGTCCACGCTGTCTACATGAGGTGACTGGTTGCAAGGAAGGAGGAAGATCGGGATCTGTGGTTGAAGAGAACGTGTACTCACCTGGGATTGAAGTCGATACTGGAATCTGCAATGTCTTCATGGTCTTCATGAGATTGAGTGCCACACGTAGCACTTCCGTGTGTGAACAGGAATATACTTATTATCATTGTTGATGTGAAGAGAGGAGAAGCCTGGAGAAGGAGAGGGTTCTGTAGGGATTATTGTGTGAATCTTCATCTTCTCCTTTGTCTGTTTCCCCTCCACGCTCTTCTAATGATGATAATGAGATACTGTTTGATATATTTCTTCATGAGTTGGAGACTTTGCTGCAGATACTGACTCTACAGGTATTTGACGACTTCTGAGTATCTGTCAGACTGGGTTCATTTCAGAGTGGTGGTGAAGATGCCTGTAGCTCTCTCGTTTTTTCCTTTTTATCTTCTTCTGAATACGTACAGTGGCCCAAGGGGCCTCTGGCCACTACTTCCACAAAAGACATACCATATGACGGTGTATGGCTCAATATTTTAGCAGATGATTCATTCAGATGTTATTCATTCGGTGAGTACCACTGAGTGGTGGAGATAGGCCCTGAGAATCACGTGGAGACACGAACAGGGTCTAGCTGAATTGGTGACCCATAACTCCCGAGCTACAGACCTGAACTCGCCCCCACAGAATATATTGGTGGTCTGCTCCCACCTCTCTCATTRTGACGCGGCCACCCTGCTTGCTGAAGCGACCGTAACCAATCCCTCCACAATGCCGAAGTGCTGAAGTGCGTTGTGAAGGGCATTGTGGGAGTCATATGAGTTTACCTGCAGGGGCCCCTAAATTGATGAAAAGGGAGCCCTTTGGTCTCTCTCTCTCTCTCTCTCTCTCTCTCTCTCTCTCTCTCTCTTCTTTTCTTTTGTGGCACGAATACATGTTTTATTTATTATTGTTACTATTTTTACTTTTTTTATTTTTTAGTATATAGATATATATATATACATATATATTTTTTATTTTACTTTTTTGCGCACCTGGCGCATCTTCCACAGTGTGTGCACTGTGCACTGCGCACCGCACTGCATACAGCGCACAGTGCGCGCGCTGGAATTCCGGTGCACTGCGCACTGCGCACCGCACCGGCCCACGCTGCGCACTGGTGCGCCGCAAGTATGGTCTGCGGTGTTCACCCGTGATGTGAGTAGGTGATGTGCCACTTTGCTCCGTGTTGGATGTGTGGACTGCCTCGTCTGGGCTCTGCCACTGCCTTGCTGCCTGTCCCACTTGCTTCCCAGGTCGTTCTTGGCATGCTGCTGTGTTCGATGTGTAGTGTGGCCGTGTTGTCAGTGTGGCCTTGCGCTTCGCTGCTCTGCTGCCTTGCCGCTTCACCCGCAGGCTGTGCGTTCCCTGTCCTTTGCTGGCATGCCTTGTAAGTCGGTTGCCTTTTTGGTGTTGCCTTGTGCTTCACTGCACGATTGCCGTGCTGCCTGTCCACTTGCCCTGTCATTCTTTGCAGCAGTCCTCGGCACCTGGTGCTTCGCTGAGTTGTTCCCTGCTGCTATGTCTGTGGCTGTCTTGTTGGCATTGCCTTGTGCTTCACTGCGTGGTTGCCACACTGCGTGGCCGCTTGACATGTCGTTCCTTGCAGTAGTCTTTGGCGTTGAGCAACTGTGTTGCCTCTGCAGCTTTGCCTGGTGCTTCACTGGGATGCTGCCCGCTGCTGTTTTCCGTTTGGGGACAGTCTGCCTTCAACAAGGGTCAAAGGGTTCATGACCCAAACTGTCAATACGGGCATTCCGCAGATTGTCGAGGATTCAGCCTCCTGACGAGTCGGTGGAACTCCGACGAAACAATCTTTTTTCTCTGACTTTGCGATTTTTTTGGGACTTGTTTTTTTTTCTGGTTTGCTTGTTTGGTGTGCTTGTATGTCATCTTCCCTTCNCCCCCCCCCCCCCCCCCAGCCTATTGTTCTCTCCTGGTCTTAGCACTTTTGGGACCTGTTTTGGTTTGCCTGTTTGGTCTGTTTGCGTGTGGTCTGCCCTCCTGCCTCCCCCATGCCCTCCATCCTATGTGGGACTCTGGAAAGCTAGTCAAGGTAAGCCACGGATGTATGAGGTAGCTTCAGAGAAGTAAAGTGGCAGCAGAGAGGGTTTCTTTGGATATGACCAGGGCCTCGTGTACCACTATGTACGGTGGGGTGGGTGGCGAGTACACCATATTGTACGATTTTTAACACATACACACACATAGCAGGGGGAAGGGGGGCGGACACAGCGCAGTTTGCGTTCAACAGGGTTTCTTTTGAAATTTCCTCTTCTAAAGTAGACATCTCCAGCCACTCCCCCCCACCAGAAAAGACCAAAATTTCCAAAAAGACTTTACAAACAAACAAACAAAAAAAGGCCGACATTCGGCTGAACGTTCAAGGCCTCCGGCCGTTCAGGCCGTCATGTTCGGCCCAGCCAGGAGGCCGGTAACGCTGATCATAATAATATTGACAATTTGACAACCGTAATTACTAGTGAAAATAAAAATGGGACAAACAATGGCACTGATAGTTCACACAGGCAAAGTTGTGTGAAACAGTTGTGTAAACAAGGGGACAAGCAATGGCACTGGTAAAAATGGGACAAGCACTCATATCGACATTTTCAGCCTGGTAACTGACACACGCAAAGTTGACCATATCGGTTTGCCTGATGAATGAAACAAATGAAAGGAAAAAAAAAAATCAAAAACACACACCTCCTTGACTCAGACTGGAAATGGTCGTGAGTACAGTGTGGTTGGTAGTGCTTGCATCTTTGTCATCCTGGCTCGACACGCCACATACACACATGCACGCACACATCCTCTGTCAATTTGTCGATTTGATCTCACAAGGTAGTCAAGGGCAATGATGAAGTTCGGCTCCATGGCACACATGTAGACAGCCCATTGGCAACAATCAGTGGACCATGAAGATAGCACACAAAAGGTAGCAACAGAAAAAATAGCGCAACAGAAAAGATAGCACAGAGAAGATAGCAACAGAAACGATAGCGCAGAAGATAGCCACAGAAAGCAACAGAAAAGAGAGCAACACAAAAGAGAGCGACAGAAAAGAGAGCACCAGAAGAAAGCACAAGAAGATTGCAACAGAAAACAGTAGCAAACCCAAGGCATAGCACACACAGAAAAATGTGCTTCCAGCCAGACCCACCTTGATTATGGAGAGGACATGAGGATCAAGGTTTTTCAAAGTTATTTGCTGAGCCCATGGAAGTCTTTTTCCTTCCTGGAAAAGTGCTTCCTGCATAACAGTGAACGAAAGGCAACTTCATGAGCACTCCACTCAGACACCATTAACTGTTGCAGGCAAGGCAGCCGCCTGCATCTGGTTCAAGCTCCCAAAAGGAAAAGAAAAAAGGTGACACTGCGACAGCACAATAGCATGTCCATTGGCCCAGAAACAACACCGCTTCCATGTTTTCACTTGTACTCACACCTACCTCCATTGTGCCTTTTCATCAAACTCAACCACTTCTCGTTTTCCTTTCCCCCCTCCCTATTCTTGTTTTCTGTGATGCATGGGGACAGGGTGGGGTGGAGCAGGGTGGGGTCAGTTCGGGTGGGGTGAGGTGGGCCCCGTTGGGCTGGGTTGGGGTGGTTGATGTGGGGTGAGGAGCCATGGCAGGAGGAATTGAAGACTCCATTCCCCTAACACAGTTAACTTAACACAGTTACAGGTTGGTAACTTGGTACACAGTTACAATCTGTAAGGTGTTGACTGTTGTGGCATGTAACTGTGTTAGAAGGAACCATGCCAGAAGGAACTAAAGACTCCATTCGCCTAGCAGAGTTAACACAGTTAGAGATTGGTAACTGGGTACACAGGTACAACCTCTCAGGCGTTGACGACTGTAACATGTGACTTCATTAGAAAAGGAGCCATGGCAGGAGGAATGAAAGACAGATAGTCGGCTCGCCCCCCCTAGTACGTCTTGGTAAGGGTAAGTTATGCCCCCTTCCATCCATGCTACCGTCTTCACCCGAAAATAACGCCCGGCGGCCGGGGCGTTATATTCAACTTACCCTAAAAAGATTAGATTTTTGTTTTCACTCAACGCCCCTTCGAATAGAACGCCCGCCCAGAGTGCCATGAAGAGGTTGCAAAGAAAATGAGCAATAGCGAGATGACAATATCCAGATTGCACAATCACATTGAAAGCCAGAAAGTATCACGGTGTCCAGAAAGCAGCATTGCACCAATATAACACCAATGGAGAATCGTAGCACTGAAAACCGAATGTCAATGAGAGCTTGCTCTCGCCACCACCAACATAAGTGTCCAGGCCCTTCTCCCTACTTGGCGCTTGGCGCCCAGCCTACTCCCTACACAGTTACGATCTGTCTACTAATTGACAATGCAACTGTTGATGTCAGCAGCCAACGAAGTACTTGAAGACGTCGACCAATGCAGACCATCGCCAATACCAGGTATGTGCCCTCACATCATCATCATGATCATCCTTCTCTCTCTCCCTCGACTTTTCACCCACGTCTTCCCTCTTTACACCCGAAGACCACCCCTGCGCTTCACTGTAGTCCAAGCCCCAGCCAGCTATGGAGGCTGGGCTATGGCGCTGCCCTCAGCAGCGCCCTTCTTCTCGCACGACCGCACGCGCACAGCACCTTGCCCTTGACGCACAGCAGCACGTGAGCCTACGCTCCAGCAGCGCTGCCGCACAAACTGGCAAGTGCCTGAATGAGACTCCAGGCAGCGAGCTCTTTCCTATATGGAAAGAGTCTGCCTGCCCCGGCAGCCTGGCTGGGCTGGGCCTGTGCCCAGAAGCTTCTGGTAAGCCCCAGGAGGCTGTGCCTCTGCAGCTGGGCCTCGTTCAGTTAAGCTCTTCCCAACTGTCTGTGTATGTTGCTGTGAATCGTGCCCAGGGCCTGCATTTCGAGAAAGGCCTGAAAGGCCGTGGAAAATGTTTGCTGCTCGGGACCTGGGCTTCCTCAACCAACTGGCGCGACACAACTGCCTGTACCCCAATTACGAAATTGACAGCCTTGGGCCTCTCGTGATTTGGTTAGGCCCACCTTCACTACGGGCGGGCACATCTGTATCAGGGGCCCCCTTAGGCCTGCCGAGGAGCCAATTCCTCGCATTCCCTCCTCCTTTGCTTCGGTAGTCCTCTGAGAAGTCTTCTATTCTGCAGGCATCTTCCCCTTGAGTGCTCTTTCATAGCCTGCAATAGGTGCTTTTTGCTGAAGCTCTTCTCTTGTAAACCACCGATCTTCACTAGGATCAGTATGGTGTCTGAATCTGACACGGTACTGCATTCTTGGCTTTGGAGGACAGCCTCTACTGGGAGGTTTAGGTACTGGCATCACCCGATGCTCCACAATTTCGTCTGGAGGGAAATTGTGCAGTCACTGTGAAAGGTGCCAGCTTTGAGGCATGAAAAACTGGGTGTGTGCGTAGGTGAGGCAGGATGCGAATCACATAGGAAGGTTTGTCTATTTGATCCCCCACTATGTCTAGGACCTCCCAAGGACCGAAGTACTGTGACATTAACTTCCTAGAGATTCCCAATTCCTGTCCCAGTTCAGATGATTTAACCCAGACCTGTTCTCCTACCTCAAACTGAAGATGGCCATCTGTGCTTGTTCTCAGACGCCACCATGACATCTTCAGCTTTCTTAATGTGGTCTACAGCATGTAGCATATGTGCTGCCAGGTGGTGCAGATGGCTGAGTTTCTGGTAGTAGGAAATCTAAGGGGGTCTGAGGCTTCCAACCAAGATGCAGTTGGTTGGGAGTCATGCCAGTAGTGCTGCGCACAGCATTGTCGTACAAGCTGGCGACGAGAGGCAATTTCTCGTCCCAGTCATCCTGACTTGGCTTGATGTAATGCCTTAGTAGGTGCTGCGCTACTCGGTTCATCTGTTTCGTCTGCCCGTTTGACTCAGGGTGATTCCCTGACGTCATCTGCAGTCTGGTACCCCTCTGTTGGGCCGTGTTTTGCCACAGTTCGCTTGTAAAGCGAACATCCCTATCGCTGACAATAGACATGGGCAAGCCAAAGTCTCGTACCCAGTTATCCATAAACAATATGATGATGTAGTCAGTTTTAGCAGTCTCTGACATAGCGATTAGTCTTGCATACTTGGCAAACGGTCCGCTATAACGAAGATGTGTCTTTTCCAGTCCTGCTCGTCACAAGAGTATCTGTGAAGTCCATGGGCACACTTTGACCAGGACCTTCAGGGATCGGCAAGGGCTTAATGAGCCCAAGCGGAGCCTGAGTCCTAGACCTGGCAGGTTTCCACATACCTTTTGGCATCTTGCATCATACCAGAATCTTTGCACTAGGTTAACTGATGTCTTTTTATAACCAAAATGACCGGTTGCATCATGGCATTCTCCTAAAAATAAACTACGTAAATTTGTCAGAAGTTACTTTATCTTTCGCTTCTAACTTACGAACGATCTTAGACATAACTGGATTTTGCTGATAGGCTTCCACCAAGGATCGAGTTACATCGTCGGATATACCAAACTCTGTCACTAGCGCGCCCAAATAATCTACCCTACGCGATAGTGCATCAACCACTTTGTTATACTCTCCCTTGATTGGATCAAGTTGATAGTCATACATGTCTATCACTTGAATCCACCTTTCTATGGCATCAGAGAGTACAAACTGAGTCTTGATCTAGCGCAAAGTCTCGTGGTCAGATCTCAAGTCAAAGAATTTGCCTAGGAGGTAGTGTCTCAAGTGCACCAGCGCTCTATAGAGGGCATAGAGTTCACGCTCATACGTAGACTTTGCTAGCTTTTGAGATGGCATTTTCTTGCTCATGTACTCGATAGGCCTTAACTTCTTCCCCTCCTTTTACGCAAGGATCGCGCCTATGCCGTATTGGTTGGCGTCTGTGGTCACTACAAAGGGTTGCTCAGGATCTGGAATTTTGAGAACTTCATAGTGTGTCAGAGCATACTTCAATTTCTTGAAGCTTGCTTCACACTCTTCGATCCACTCCCAAGGGGTGTCAACGCGAGTTAGATCTATTAATAGGGAAGTTGTAGTACTATAGTTCTTAACAAACGAACGATAGTAGCCCGCCATTCCCAAAAACGATCGGACCTCAGTACCTATCTGAGGTATGGGCCAGTCACGTATGCTGGCCACGTTGGCATCGTCCGGCCTCAACCCATCCGAAATTTCATGACCCAAGTACAAGATTTTGGTGCGACCGAACTCGCATTTCTCCAAGTTGACCTTGTATTGGTGCTGTCTTAGGAGACCTCGCACTGTTTTCAAGTGCTCAGCTTGCTCCTCTACAGTCTTACTAAAGATAAGGATATCATCGAGGTACACGACGATAAACTTGTCTAGGTAATCATGAGAAATCCTATTCATTGTATGTTGGAATGTCCCAGGGGTATTCCATAGGCCAAAGGGCATCACCACAAACTCGTACAGACCGTACCTGGTCTGGAAAGCGGTTTTGTGCTGGTCCTCAAGTCTAATAGCAATTTGATGGTATCCGGACTTCAGGACTATCTTTGTGAAGTACCGACATCCCTGCACTCTATCCAATAGGTTATCGATGCAAGGTAGGGGCTCAGTGTTCTTAATTAACGGTGATGGCATTGAGGCCCTTATAGTCAATGCACATCCTTAGTGTACCTCCCTTCTTAGGAACGAATGAGACTGGAGCACCATAAGGGGAGGTACTAGGCCGAATCCATCCCTCTTCTGTGAGCCCTTTGAGCTGGCGGGGGAGCTCATCCAACTCCGCAGGAGATATCCTATAGATCCGTCCTCTAGGTACTTTGCTACCAGGGATGACTTCTATCGCATGGACAACCTACCTTTCTACCACACCACTGGGCTCCTCAAAAAGGTCTGGATACTGAGCAACGACTGCTTCTATCTCTGGGGGTGATTTTACGGCCTCCCCTTTCTCAGAGACAAAGACACAGTACATGCCTTCCTCGCGATTCTGTTTATAGTAGTTATAGAATGAAGATGCACACATGCACCCGTAGTTTTCCACTAGACTGCTAGCTTTGAACTTCTACAGTCTTACGGTTCTACCATTGGGCAACTTGTGGATCATCACCTTCCTATCCCAATCGAATTGAGGTTGAGCAACCTCGAGGTAGTACATACCTAGCAGCATATCAAATGGCAGTTCGTTGCTGACAAGGAACGAGATTTTATGTCTCAGTTCCCCTCCTCCATAGGAGAAGGTGCAGACTACGTCCTTGATATAGTATTGGGCAATCATACTATGCTTGTTGGTTAGCGTAGAGGCTACAGATATGCTAAGCCGCTGCACTTGGTCCCCTAAGCGCAATCTGTCCACACAAGCACGATTGATGAAGTTTCGTGTAGAGCTTATGTCTGCGAAGGACCCACTTTGCGGCCACCTACACCAACCTATACCACGAAATGTGCACCCCTAGGACCTTTGCTAATCATCGCCCAAGAGTCTTTAGGGTCCTTCCGTGACCACTCAGTCTGTAACTCTTCTAGGGATTCAAACACATCTCTTGAATAGAGCATCGATGGGTCTGAATGTGTCTGCGGGGCGATCAATGGGTCACTAGCCTTGGCCAACACCTGAAGTGGTGAATGGCACGTTACCACTTCAACACGAGTAAGAGCGGCTAACACTCCTACTGGCCCAAGGTGTTTCCCTGCAAAGTGCTCGCAGAAGCACTGCCAGGGTTCGGAGACAATAGTGACCTTCTTGCCTCGACATCTCCTTGATGTGTGTCCATAGTTGCCACAATTTAGACAAGTGCCCCTGGCAACTTGGTCTCTCCACACCTCGTAATCTAAACCAAGTTTTACCCATGCAGGTGTTCCTTGGTCCCCCTTACCCTTGGACCAGCCTACCTTCTGCTTCCCGGTGTCGACCGGTAGAAGTGATCTGCCAACACGCTGACCAACCCTATACCTCGCGCCGCGTCTGTCACCCACGGGAGGGCTGGTTGGGGCTCCTGTAACCTTCAAGAGATCAACCTCGCCAGTATCACCAAAACACGCTAGCACCGGGAAATAAGGCAAGAAACTGCCGACGACGAAACAAATCGTAGAAGCGACCAAAACGAGTGTTTTTATTTAGTTCAAATAACATGATAGTTCGCATTGCGACCGACCCTTGGGTCTTGTCCATAGCAAGAGTCTCTAAGGTTCACCTGAGTCCCGACGGAACGCGGGTTCGCCATGAAACGGACTTGATGCGTAAAAAGACCCGGCACATGTACGAACAGCCCCGACACTAGTGCAAATAAGACTGGTGATTTAATAGGTCGGGCGCTTTCGCAGCACTCGCTTGGGATACCGGTAGCGGATCCGTCTTCTTCCCGGTCAGTGAGTCGACTCTGAACCGCCCGACTGTAAGAAAGGCGCCACCTTGGTCCGTTCTGCTCTGGCCCGGTCTACTCCGGCCCAATCTGGTATGGTCTGCCTGCCAGTCTGGTCTGATCCAGTCTGGTGCAGTCTGGTCTCGTGTGGTCTGATCCTGCTCAGTCCGGTTTGTTCCGACCTGATGCAGTCTAGTCTAGTTTTGGTATGGCCTTGTCTAATCTGGTCTGGACCGGCTGATCTTGTCTGATCTGGTCTGCCCCGGTCTGGTTCCGTCCGGTCTGATCTGATATGGTCTGGCTTGGTCTGGTGAGGACTGGTCTGACGCTGTCCGTCCCCGTCTCACTTAGTCTGAGCTGGTTTGAGCTGTTCTGGTCCGGTACGGCCTTGTCTGGTCTCGTCATTTGTCCCAGTATGATCCGGCCTGGTTTGTTGTGATCTGCTTTGATCACGCTCAGTCCAATCCGGTTGTAAGCAGCCTCCATTCGCCCGCGCACAGTTCAGTCTTTCGGCTGCGGATCCGCACAATGGTTGATAGGGACAACGGATATCTCGTTAGTCCAATCACGCGCGTCACTAATTAGATGACTGCAAACGATCTTCTTTTCTCGTTGTTGCTTTCAAGCCCGTTTCCGCGACTGTGGTATCGCAACACGGTAGATAGGGGTAAGGTCACAATGCCTTGTTCTGATGGGGCAGTCGGATTCTCCTCGTATCTCTCTCTCTCTCTCGTCTCTCACCTGTGATCACTTCCTGATACCGCACACACGTTAACTTAGTATAGAGCGCACGAATCTGGACGGCAGGGAGGGCTAGATTCATGCGCCTCCAGCAGGTGCGAATGTGGACATCCTCTTGCGTCTAAACACACGCACTCCTCTGCTCTGAGACAGCCGGTTCGAGCACTCTCCTATCCCCCCCCCCTGCACTCTTTCCCTCTCTTTCTCTCTCACCCTTTCTCTCTCTCCCTCTCTCACCTGCTCTCCCGCTCTCTCTCGCATGCGCGCGGGATTCGATTTACCCCTCCGCGCGATCCAATTCCCAACCTGTTCACGATTCCCTCCGAAGCGCTGCTTTGCTTCCTCGTGAGTGATCGAATCTCTTTCCCTCTCTTTCTCTGTCACCCTTTCTCTCTCTCCCTCTCTCACCTGCTCTACCGCTCTCTCTCGCGCGAGCGCGCGGGATTCGATTTACTCCTCCTCGCGATCCAATTCTTAACTTGTTCACGACTCCCTCCGCCTCGCGTTGCTTTGCTTCTTCGTGAGTGATCGCATCTCCCCGTGTCTGGCGATCCCACACCCCCGCACGCATACCTTCGGCTTTTTGCCGCGCGCGCAGTCGATTGGGTTTCCTTCGTCAGCTTCGGTAGCTTCAGCGCAGCTCTCTGGCCCGCGCGGTCTCTTCTGCCAGCGCGTAGCTCTCTCCGCGCTGCTGCTCCTCCTTGTTGCTATCCTCTCTCTCTCTCCCCCTCTCTCTCTCTCTCTCTGTGCTCTTGGGCTCGTGTTGATAGTTAATCCGCCTGCGCAGCCCCTGCCACGGTTCGCGAGCCTCCCCACTCTTTTTTCTTACTATCGCGCACCCAGCCTCACGGTACCCCCTCACTCTCTCTCGCACACCAGCTTTCCTCTCGCCTGCGCTGCTCGGATCGCCTTCGCAGCCTGGTTCCCTCGCGCACAGCCCATTTGCCATTCTCGCAGCAGATGGCCATGGCGACGAAGGTGATCACAGTAGCAACGATGAGAGTGGTGATGGTGATGGGGATAGTAAGCCACGTGAGAGATTCACGGTCGCGTGCACCTGTACGACGCCGGGCATGAGATTCACAAACACGTGCACCTGTACCGCAGCAACACGCAGTACTCCGCAGACAACATCTGTTGGCATAGGAACGTGCGCATGGTAACAAGGCTTCAATCTGTCTACCAGTCGATGGACAATCCTTTCTCTCTGTTGATTGGTGGCCAGCTGTCTAGGAGTGTACACACCATCTTCACCCTCAGATTCGAGCTATCTCGGAACAAACCCAGAGCGATCACTTGGCAGCTATGCCTAAGGCTGACTTAGCCCACTCTCTTGTGCCACTGCATATACTTCCAACTACCCTCATCACAAGTGTGTGCTCGTCATCGTTCCGATGAGATACACACAAGACGATGACAATGTTCCGACTACCTTTCTCGTAGGAAGCATTCATGATGGGGGTACGTATTGCCTTCCCCAAAAGAGCACACTCGTTCGTGCTCCTCCCCTTTCTCCCGAGTCTCTGCACCAGGCTCAGATCTTGGGCAAAGTGCCCGAGATTCCCACGCGTGTCAGTGACTAAAGTCTCCCCCTTGGTTCTCCCTCATGTACACTAGCGCGTGCGCCAGTCCCCAGTTCCCGTTGCTTCGTGAGCGAGCACGCTTGTCCAGCTCCGTGCGCTCCCGCTTGGTTCTCCCTCACGTACACTAGCAAGTGCGCCAGTCCCTTGTTCCCGTTGCTTCGTGAGCGAGCACGCTTGTCCATCTCCGTGCGCTCCCCGTCCATGCATTTCATCCCCCTACGCTCGCTACTGTCTTCGTGCGTGCGGAGTCTCATCTCCCCGCGTACAATCTTCTTCAGCAAGCTGGCAAGCTCCCTCTCTCGCGAGTCATTCTCCTGCGCTCGTTTGCACTATCTCTCTCGCTGATTAACGTGATCTCCTTAGTGCTCATTTGCACTCGCTCGCTCTCTCTATCTCCCATGCACTGTTAACCCATTGCGCGTTTTGTCTTCTCGTCTAGAGAGAGGAGATTCTCCATAGTAGTCCTACCTGTCCGTAGTAGCACGGATCTTCCCGCTCTTAAAGTAGATCTTTCGAAGAGCAGAGCACCCGTGTCCAGCGCGAGTCTCTTCTCCTCTTTTATTCGATGCTATTGATCTGCGTCCTTTTGTAGATCGGTTCGCTAGGGAATGCTTCGATTGGAGCACGAGCTGAAGTGTAAATACTTCTCAGAGTGGATAAGGCTCCGTTCATGATCCCGGTCCGTCCGCCACTGGGAGCCTGTCTGATAGTCTCGGTAACACTCTTTAATCTTTAACACTCTTTAATCTTACTTACTTGACTAGATACTTGCCTGATTAGATCCCTCCCTTCCATAAAGGGAAAATTCCCCCTTTTCGTGAGAGTAGAGTTTGCGCCTGCAAGTTTCCAGGAACCTATCTAGGTTCGTCGTCTTCTCCGAAGAGCACGCGTGTTCGTGCTCCCCCCCCGGAAGTCTCGATTAGTCCCCTGATTGCCTCTTTCGTGCGTGCGTGGTCGTGCCCCCTGGATGCACGACGTGCGTGTTCGCTGGCTCGCACGCCCGTGACCGGGATGTTCATATGCCCCTAAGATCGGACCCCCCCATCCAATTCTGAGCCAGCACCCTCCGTGTAACAGCCCGTGCCCCTTTCCGTGCGCCCGTCCGATAAAAAAAAAAACCGTCATGGGCCCGGTTCGGCTTATATACTTTGTCGGGCCCTTTCTCAAAGTGTGTCCCAGCCTTAGTGTGTTCCGGGGCCGCCGCCAAGTTGCAGCGCCCCGGTACCGGACCTCCGCCCGAGGCCCTCAATGGGTTTCCAGTAAAAGGGGCCCTTTTGTCGAGTACCGGGCCTTTTGCAGCGCACTGGTACCAGGCCTCTCCCCGAACCTAGGTCGGGCCTGCCTTCCCGCCGTCCCCGCATGAGAGGTACTGGCCTCTTAGAATCTCGCAGGCCAGACCCCGGGATTAATAATCTCATGGCCCTTTTTCCCTCGACTGGTCCGCAAGCCTCTTAAGGCCTTTCCTTAGGGCCACACGTCCAAGGCCCAAGCATGCTTGAGCAGCAATCTCTGCTCTAGTCTACCCCCATGATGAGCCTCGGTGCTGAGTGCCATTTAGCTCCCCTGAGGGTCTGCCTTAAAGACCGAAAGCTCCCTCCGTCCAACCCATCGCCACGGTACTCGAGGTAAGTCTGATCTCAGCGTTCCTGTCCGTCCTCCGTAGCCTCCGATCCCCTCCGTAGTAGCCGCTCCTTCGAGTCTTGTCAACGATTGGTCTCGATAGCGCGCGCAAGAAGGGCGCTTACCCAGAACTCAGGGGTTCTCTTCTTCTTGGCGCCTCAGTCTCGATTCTTGTCGCGTGAATCTGATCTCGTATCCTTTGGTGTCGGTTGTGATCCCGTCGGGCAAATTGACCGACTTCAGTCCTCGCCAAATGTTATCCTCAAGGAAGTAAAGTGCGGCGTAAGGCTTGGGCCACCCGACAGCAGCCCACTCCCCCCATTCTCAACGTCCCCGTCGAGCCATCTTGGAGTATCGTCTGATTGCCGAGAAGGAAAAACTTAATCGGTCGACACCTAATCCGTACTCGATCAACCCCAAGAAACATATTCCTCTCATAATTTTCTTTCTTCCTTTTGCTTTTCCTACCTCTCTTTCCACCATCGTTTCTTTTAGCTTTTCGCTTTTTATCCCTGGCTTGTTCTCTCAACCACTCCAGCGTTACCAGGCTACAGTGGCCTTCGGGTTTGTCTCGCCACTTGTGAAAGTAGGGTTCACCCCCGCTTTTGTACTTACCAATCGACTTCTTCAGTCTAATAGACGATACACCGCCTCCCCCTTTCGATATCAGGTTTCTGCCCTTTTGGGTCCACCACCCTTGTTCTCGAACGCCTTCGTCCTTCTTTCAGACCCTGCGACACAATTTTCAGCCCTGACCGATTCATTGTCGTTAATAACGGATTCCTTCACTTGGAATCCATCCTTGAGTTCTGACAGTTCCTTAAATTCTCTTGACGTACTTCTAAGCGGGTCAGCATCCTCAATAAACTTAACTTCCACGATGGCTTTTCCTCCGCCTTCTTGGTCAGATGGAAGTCGAATCCCATAGTCTTCCCCTTCCAAAAGGCTCCCATCTAATTCTCCTTCAACATTCACCGCCATGCATTGATCCATTATGAAGTCCCCAATATCTTTCATAGTAACCAGATTTTGCTTCGCAGTTGTCTTAGGACTATTCCCATCATTATTTCCGGATGTATTGACGGTCTCAGACGGTTGGACAAGGTCATAGTTGTCACCCGACTCGACGGTCTCAAACAGTTGAGCAAGCTCATCGCCGATGTCCTGCTCGACGGTGTCAGACGGCTGAGTAAGCTCATAGCCGACGTCCGGGTCAACGGTCTCAGACGGCTGAGTAAGCTCATAGCCGACGTCCGGCTCAACGGTCTCAGACGGTTGAGTAACCTCATAGCCGACGTCCGGCTCAACGGTCTCAGAAAGTTGAGCCAGCTAATAGTTGATGTCCGACTCTGCAAACTTAAACGTTGGGGCAAGCTTATAGCTCGTGTCCGAATACCCTGCCCCCTTGCTATGAGTATCGCTTGTCTTTTTCAAGCCACCGCATTCTTCAATCATTGGTATCACTTCCAGTGTTGTGGTTCGATCTGCCCATGTTTTCCGAATAACCTTCGGTCCTTCACCCCTCGGCGAGACTTTAATATGAAGGTTAGTACTATCGGCTCCATTTTCATCTGATTCCTCACTCACTTTCTTAACACACATTAGAGTTGTATCAGAATCCTCCTCGCAACTCTCGAACCGAATACTCGAAACCCCAACCATCAAACTATCATTCGGGTCTAGGTCCTCCTCAAACTGGACACTCGACACCCCGACCTCTCCCTGCTCTGGTTCTTCCGCTGTCCTCGTTTTAATGCCAGTATTGGTCTCCGTTGAAGTTCGGCAGAGTATATCTTCCTCCTCATTCTCCTTTGTATATCGGTTCTCCTCAAACCTGATACTCGGCATCCAAATTTCTCCCTGAATCACCTCCTGCGTTGTTCCCGCTTTAATGTTAGTATTCATCTTCGTAGAAGGCCTGTATGATATATCTTTCTCAACATTTGATCCTTCTCCACTCATTCCGCTCGACGGTTTTCTCATCACCTTTTTCTCGTCTGGCTGTATGCTCTTGTTGTAAAAAAACCTTCAACGACTCTGCGCACCGTCGAGGTGAGACATTTTTCATTCTCTTCATCCTTTCTCGTTTAACCCTTAGGGCTTTAATCTCCTCGACCTTTTCCCATCCTTCCCTATGTGATCTCCTTCGTTTTTCTTCTTCTCCACTTCTCCAACGCCTATCTTGAAATCCCCTATCGTCGTTCTTCTTCCAGTTGCTGCGGTTTCCTGCTTTCCATTCCCCTCTATCTCTACTTACTTTACCTTTGTCAGGCGGCTAGATGAGCTTTGGCAAATCCCCTATCGTCATTCTTCTTCCAGTTGCTGCGGTTTCCTCCTTTCCATTCCCCTCTATCTTTACTTACTTTACCTTTGTCAGGCGGCTAGATGAGCTTTGGCATCCGGTACCCCAGTCTGCAAAGCCAATCACCTCCTGCGTTGTTCCCGCTTTAATGTTAGTATTCATCTTCGTAGAAGGCCTGTATAATATATCTTTCTCACCATTTGATCCTTCTCCACTCATTCAGCTCAACGGTTTTCTCATGACCTTTTTCTCGTCTGGCCGTATGCTCTTGTTGTAAAAAAACCTTCAACGACTCTGCACTCCGTCGAGGTGAGACATTTTTCATTCTCTTCATCCTTTCTCGTTCAACCCTTAGGGCTTCAATCTCCTCGACCTTTTCCCATCCTTCCCTATGTGATCTCCTTCGTTTTTCCTCTTCTTCTCCACTTCTCCAACACCTATCTTGAAATCCCCTATCGTCGTTCTTCTGCCAGTTGCCGCGGGTTCCTCCTTTCCATTCCCCTCTATCTCTACTTACTTTACCTTTGTTAGGCGGCTTAAAATCTCTTCCATCCTCATCACCGAATTGTTTTCCTAAATGCCTTTCGGGTACTCCTTTCCCTAGTTTCTCCAACACCCCAAGTAGGTGAGCTTTGGCATCCTGTCCCCCAGTCTGCAAACCCAATGCCTTTGTTTGAGCGAACGACACCCTTTTAGTGGGCATGTTCTCCACAACAAACTCTCTTCCCTCGGTAGGTAGAGTCCCTATGAATAGACCGCATCGTTCCATCTCATCGAGAAACCCATTTTCTATCAATGGTTCAGATGTCGTCTCAAAGCGTCTTGGAAACGCCACTAACGTCTCTCCTTCCTCCTTCTTCATCTCCTTTAAGTCTTCGACTGAGTACAAGATATCGTCGCAAGCAAAGACTCGAGATAATCGTTCTCTGAAAGTTGTCCACTTCCCATCTTCGGGTATAGCAGCACGGACATCTTTGTCTAGTTTGAAATCCGTGTGATTAATGAATCCAATTATCGCTTCCCGATCMGTCCATCCTGCTCTCAAGGCATTAACTTCCCAGTCATTCAGGAATTCTTTTACCCGATGCCCAGTGAAATAAAGAGTTYGGGTATAGCAGCACGGACATCTTTGTCTAGTTTGAAATTCGTGTGATTAATGAATCCAATTATCGCTTCCCGATCCGTCCATCCTGCTCTCAAGGCATTAACTTCCCAGTCATTCAGGAATTCTTTTACCCGATGCCCAGTGAAATAAAGAGTCTGACTGAAATCCGGTAGTTGGTAAGATAAAGGACCGTATAGATGTCTGTATCCCATAGTATATGGACTTGGTCTACATGGTGGCTCATATCGTCCTTCTCGCCGAGTCTCTCTTGCTCCGTTCATCATCCTTTCTCCTCCATAAGACCTCTCCACTCAGGGTCTTTCCCCTTTTTTGTAGTATCTCCTTCTTGGAACTAACATCATATGATAAGTACTCCCTGATTCTATTCGCGCCCCATCCAAGTCATCAGTTGATCCAACTAATCAACGAACAAATGGTTACCATATTCTCTCTGGTGCTTGTGCAACCCACTCTCGACTGGTGAGGTCATAGACCCACACGACAGGCCCCGTCGAACGCTCCTATAACCCATCAAGACGTCAACAGGCCTAGGAAAGAACCGCCCTCTGGCGTATCTCTCCCTACCCTCATGTCGAGAAGGAGGATTGTCCAACGTACCATCGTCGCTGGCCTGTCATCTCCGCCTCGACCTGGACACGAGCTGGCCAACTCATGCGTCTCAGGGTGGACCGAAGTCACACGCGAACGAAGTGACGGTGTCTTGCTTGTGCATCCTCACTCCTATCCATGCCTCTACTCGGCCCACCTCAGGCATGGTCTCTTTTCCCGACTCGTGAAGTGAATCAATCCCCCTAGCTATCCATCAGGATCAACTAGCCTATCTAGCCCCTGCCCAACTCCTTGCAATCCAGGGTGCTTCTCCCCTCCCCTTCAGTCCCTCCAGTTCTTCCCCTACTTATAATTTTGTCTCTTGGAGTCGAATGGGGGTAGACTGACCAAAGGGTAGGGGAAAAAAACCAGAATTATCTCGCTCGATCACAATCACAAGAAGGATTAAAGGAAGAAATGCATGAGATCACCAAATGCAAGAATCAAAAATATCACCAGCATTGCAAAAGTCGATGTCTCACCGGGCATGCCCATCGCTGGTTGGCTGGTGGCTCGTCGTCCGCTCCGCTCTAGCCGTGCTCCTCTCCTGATCCTCTCACGTCCCCGCGGTTACAGGCGGACCAAAGTCCTGAGAGGCAACCTTCCCCGGCAATGGCGGCACTGTCAACCGGTAGAAGTGATCTGTCGGCACGCCGACCAACCCTATACCTCGCGCCGCGTCTGTCACCCACGGGAGGGCTGGTTGGGGCTCCTATAACCTGCAAGAAATCAACCTCGTCAGTATCACCAAAACACGCTAGCACCGCGAAATAAGGCAGGAAACTGCTGACGACGAAACAAATCCTAGAAGCGACCAAAACGAGTGTTTTTATTTAGTTCAAGTAATATGATAGTTCGCATTGCGACCGGCCCTTGGGTCTTGTCCATAACAAGAGTCTCTAAGGTTCACCTCAGTCCCGACGGAACGCGGCTTCGCGATGAAACGGACTTGATGCGTACAAAGATCCGGCACATGTACGAACAGCCCCGACACTAGTGCAAATAAGACTGGTGATTTAATAGGCCGGGCGCTTTCGCAACACTCACTCGGGATACCGGTAGTGGATCCGTTTTCTTCCCGGTCGGTGAGCCGGCTCTGAACCGCCCGACTGTAAGAAAGGCGCCACCTTGGTCCGATCTGCTCTGGCCCGGTCTAATCCGGCCCGATCTGGTATGGTCTGCCAGCCAGTCTGGTCTGATCCGGTCTGGTGCGTCTGGTCTCATGCATTCTGATCCTGCTCAGTCCGGTTTGTTCCGACCTGATGCAATTTGGTTTAGTTCTGGTATGGCCTTGTCTCATTTGGTCTGGACCGGCTAATCTTGTCTGATCTGGTCTGCCCCGGTCTGGTTCCGTCTGGTCTGATCTGATATGGTCTGGCTTGGTCTGGTGAGGACTGGTTTGACGCTGTCCGATCCCGTCTAACTTAGTCTAAGCTGGTTTGAGTTGTTCTGGTTCGGTACGGCCTTGTCGGGTCTTGTCTGATCCGGCCTGGTTTGTTGTGATCTGCTTTGATAAGGCTCATTCCAATCCGGTTGTAAGCAGCCTCCGTTCGCCCACGCACAGTTCAGTCTTTCGGCTGCGGATCCGCATAATGGTTGATAGGGAGAACGGATATCTCGTTAGTCCACTAATTAGATGACTGCGAACGATCTTCTTTTCTCGCTGTTTCTTCCAAGCCCATTTTCACGACTGAGGTATCGCAAGATGATAGATAGGGGCAAGGTCACAATGCCTTGTTCTGATGGAGCAGTCGTATTCTCCTCGTATGTCTCTCCCTCGTATCTCTCTCTCTCTCTCGCCTCTCACCTGTGATCAATTTCTCGTACCGCACACACGTTAACTTAGTATAAAGCGCACGAATCTGGACAGCAGGGAGGGCTAGATTCATGCACCTCTTGCGGGCGTGAATGTGGACATCCTCCTGCGCCCAAACACACGCACTCCTTCGCTCTGAGACAACCGGTTAGAGCACTCTCCTATCCCCCCCCCCTGCACTCTTTCCTTCTCTTTCTCTCTCACCCTTTCTCTCTCTCCCTCTCTCACCTGCCCTCCCGCTCTCCCTCTCTCGCGCTCGCGGGATTCGATTTATTCCTCCGCACGATCCAATTCCCAACCTGTTCACGATTCCCTCCGGCGCGCGCTGCTTTGCTTCCTCGTGAGTGATCACATCTCCCCGTGTCTGGCGATCCTGCACCCCCGTATGCATACCTTCGGCTTTTTGCAGCGCGCGCAGTCGATTGGGTCTCCTGAGTGAGCTTCGGTAGCTCCAGCGCAGCTCTCTGGCCCGTGTGGTCTCTTCTGCCAGCGCGTAGCTCTCTCCACGCTGCTGCTCCTCCTTACTTTTATCCTCTCTCTCTCCCTCTCTCTCTCTCCATCTCAGCGCTCTTGGGCTCGCGTTGATAGTTAATCCGTCTGCGCAGTCCCTGCCACGTTTCGCGAGCCTCCCCACTCTTTTTCTTACTATCGCGCACCCAGCCTCACGGTACCCCCTCACTCTCTCTCGCACACCAGCTTTCCTCTCCCCGCGCACAGTCCTCTTCTCGCCCGCGCTGCTCGGTTCGCCTTTGCAGCCCGGTTCCCTCTCGCACAGCCCATTCGCCATTCTCGCAGCAGATGGCCATGGCGATGAAGGTGATCACTGTAGCGGCGATGAGAACGGCGATGGTGATGGGGATAGTAAGCCACGTGAGAGATTCACGGTCGCGTACCTGTACGCTGTCGGGCATGAGATTCACAAACACGTCCACCTGTACCGCAGCAACACGCATTACTCCGCAAACAACATCTGTTGGAATAGGAATGTGCGCATGGTAACAAGGCTTCAATCTGTCGACCAGTCGATGGACAATCCTTTCTCTCTGTTGATTGACGGCCAGCTGTCTAGGTGTATACACACCATCTTCACCCTCAGATTCGGGCTATCTCGGAGCAAACCCAAAGCGATCACTTCTACTCTAGCTTTGCTCGGCCAGCTATGCCTAAGGCTGACTTAGCCCACTCTCTTGTGCCACTACATATACTTCCAACTACCCTCATCACAAGTGTGTGCTCGTCATCGTTCCGATGAGATACACACAAGACGATGGCTGCGTTCCGGCTACCTTTCTCGTAGGAAGCATTCATGATGGGGGTACGTATTGTCTTCCCCAAAAGAGCACACTCGTTCGTGCTCCTCCCCTTTCTCCCAAGTCTCTGCACCAAGCTCAGATCTTGGGCAAAGTGCACGAGATTCCCGCGCGTGTCAGCGACTAGAGGATCCCCCTTGGTTCTCCCTCACGTACACTAGGGCGTGCGCCAGTCCCCAGTTGTCGCTGCTTCGTGAGCGAGCACGCTTGTCCAGCTCCGTGCGCTCCCCCTTGGTTCTCCCTTACGTACACTAGCGCGTGCGCCAGTCCCCAGTTCCCGTTGCTTCGTGAGCGAGCACGCTTGTCCAGCTCCGTGCGCTCCCCGTACACGGGTTTCTCCCCCGTACGCTCGCTGATGTCTTCGTGCGTGTGGAGTCTCATCTCCCCCCGTACAATCTTCTTCAGCAAGCTGGCAAGCTCCCTCTCTCGCGAGTCATTCTCCTGCGCTCGTTTGCACTTTCTCTCTCGCCGATTAACGTGATCTCCTTGGTGCTCATTTGCAGTCGCTCGCTCTCTCTATCTCCCATGCACTGTCAACCCATTGCACGCGTTGTCTCCTCGTCTAGAGAGAGGAGATTCTCCATAGTAGTCCTACCTGTCCGTAGTAGCACGGATCTTCCCGCTCTTAAAGTAGATCTTTCGTAGAGCAGAGCACCCGTGTCCAGTGCAAGTCTCTTCTCCTCTATGATTCGATGCTATTGATCTACGTCCGTTTGTAGATCGGTTCGCTAGGGAATGCTTTAATTGCAGCACGAACTGAAGTGCAAATACTTCTCAGAGTAAATAAGGCTCCGTTCATGATACAGGTCCGTCCGCCACTGGGAGCCTATTTGATAGCCTCGGTAACACTCTTTAATCTTACTTACTTGATTAGATACTTGCCTGATTAGATCCCTCCCTTCCATAAAGGGAAAATTCCCCCTTTTTGTGAGAGTAGAGTCTGCGCCTGCAAGTTTCCAGGAACCTATCCAGGTTTGTTGTCTTCTCCCAAGAGCACGCTTGTTCGTGCTCCCCTCTTGGAAGTCTCGATTAGTCCCCTGATTGCCTCTTTCGTGCGTGCGTGGTCATGCCCCTTGGATGCACGACGTGCCTGTTCGCTGGCGCGCCCGCCCGTGACCGGAGCGTTCCAAACGCCCCTGAGATCGGACCCCCCCGTGCATTTCTGAGCCAGCACCCTCCGTGTGCCAGCTCGTGCCCCTTTTCGTGCGCCCGTCTGAAAAAAAAATAAAAAAATTATGGGCCCGGTTCGGCTTATATACTTTGTCGGGCCCATTCCCGACGTGTCCCGACCTTAGTGTGTTCCGGGGCCGCCGCCAAGTTGCAGCGCCCCGGTACCGAACCTGCGCCCGAGCCTGTTTGGGCCCTCGATGGGTTTCCAGTAAAAGGGGCCCTTTTGTCGGGTACTGGGCCTTTTGTAGAGCCCTGGTACCAGGCCTCTCCCCGAACCTAGGTCGGGCCTGCCTTCCCGTAGTCCCCGCATAAGAGGTACCGGCCTCTTAAAATCTCGCAAGCCGGACCCCAGGATTAATAATCTCATGGCCCTCTTTTCCCTCGACCGGTCCGCAGGCCTCTTAAGGCCTTTCCTTAGGCCCACACGTCCAAGGCCCACGTCTGCTTGAGCAGCAATCTCTGCTTTAGTCTACCCCCATGATGAGCCTCGGTGCCGAGTGCCATTTAGCTCCCCTGAGGGTCTGCCTTAAAGACCGAAAGCTCCCTCTGTCCAACCCATCGCCACGGTACTCGAGGTAAGTCTGATCTCAGCGTTCCTGTCCGTCCTTCATAGCCGCTCCTTCGAGTCTTGTCAACGATTGGTCTCGATAGCGTGCGCAAGAAGGGCGCTTACCCAGAACTCAAGGATCCGCTTCTTCTTCGCGCCTCAGTCTCGATTCTTGTCGCGTTAATCTGATCTCGTATCCTTTGGTGTCGATTGCGATCCCGTCAGGCAAATTGACCAACTTCAGTCCTCGCCAAATGTTATCCTCAAGGAAGTAAAGGGCGGCGTAAGGCTTGGGCCACAAACAGCAGCCCACTCCCCCCATTCTCGACGTCCCCGTCGAGCCATCTTGGAGTATCGTCTGATTGCCGAGAAGGAAAAACTTAATCGGCCGACACCTAATCCGTACCCGATCAACCCCAAGAAACATATTCCTCTCATAATTTTCTTTCTTCCTTTTGCTTTTCGTACCTCTCTTTCCACCATCGTTTCTTTTAGCTTTCCACTTTTTAGCCCTCGCTTATTCTCTCAACCACTCCAGCGTTACCAAGCTACAGCGGCCTTCGAGTTTGTCTCGGCACTTGTGAAAGTGGGATTCACCCCCCCTTTTGTACTTACCGATCGACTTCTTCAGTCTAATAGACGATAGACCGCCTCCCCCTTTCGATATCAGGTTTCTGCCCTTTTTGGTTCCACCACCCTCGTTCTCGAATGCCTTCGTCCTCCTCCCATCTCGTCTCCATCCACTCGATGAGACTATCAAGGGAGTAAGGGAAGGTTTCATCAAAAAAGCCCCACACGACAAACTTAGACGGGTCCATCTCCCCACCACGGAGTATAGTTCCGCCTTTATACCACCATAGAGGCCGTACCCAAAGCGGCAATTCGTTACGGAAATGTCGTAGACTAACTACATGAAGCTAGAGCCGCATCAGGAGCACCAGCTACAGTATGTACGAGCACACGCATGTATAAGGGTGAGCAGCAAGAGAAAACGAAGACCCAAGTCTACATTCCAAACTTGCATCTCAACCACAATTTCGGACCCTGCGACACAATTTTCAGCCCTGACCGATTCATTGTCGTTAATAACGGATTCCTTCACTTGGAATCCATCCTTGAGTTCTGACAGTTCCTTAAATTCTCTTGACGTACTTCTAAGCGGGTCAGCATCCTCAATAAACTTAACTTCCACGATGGCTTTTCCTCCGCCTTCTTGGTCAGATGGAAGTCGAATCCCATAGTCTTCCCCTTCCAAAAGGCTCCCATCTAATTCTCCTTCAACATTCACCGCCATGCATTGATCCATTATGAAGTCCCCAATATCTTTCATAGTAACCAGATTTTGCTTCGCAGTTGTCTTAGGACTATTCCCATCATTATTTCCGGATGTATTGACGGTCTCAGACGGTTGGACAAGGTCATAGTTGTCACCCGACTCGACGGTCTCAAACAGTTGAGCAAGCTCATCGCCGATGTCCTGCTCGACGGTGTCAGACGGCTGAGTAAGCTCATAGCCGACGTCCGGGTCAACGGTCTCAGACGGCTGAGTAAGCTCATAGCCGACGTCCGGCTCAACGGTCTCAGACGGTTGAGTAACCTCATAGCCGACGTCCGGCTCAACGGTCTCAGAAAGTTGAGCCAGCTAATAGTTGATGTCCGACTCTGCAAACTTAAACGTTGGGGCAAGCTTATAGCTCGTGTCCGAATACCCTGCCCCCTTGCTATGAGTATCGCTTGTCTTTTTCAAGCCACCGCATTCTTCAATCATTGGTATCACATCCAGTGTTGTGGTTCGATCTGCCCATGTTTCCCGAATAACCTTCGGTCCTTTGCCCCTCGAGGAGACTTAAATATCAAGGCTAGTATTATCGGCTCCATTTTCATCTGATTCCTCACTCACTTTCTTAACACACATTAGAGCTGCATCAAAATCCTCCCTGCAACTCTCGAATCGAATACTCGAAACCCCAACCATTATCATTCGGGTTTGAGTCCTCCTGAAACCGGACACTCGACACCCAGAACTCTCCCTGCTCTGGCTCTTCCACCGTCCTCGTTTTAATGCTAGTATTCGTCTCCGTTGAAGCTCGGCAGAGTATATCTTCCTCCTCATTCTCCTTTGTATACCGGTGCTCCTCAAACCTGATACTCGGCACCCAAATTTCTCCCTGAATCACCTCCTGCGTTGTTCCCGCTTTAATGTCAGTATTCATCTTCGTAGAAGGCCTGTATGATATATCTTTCTCACCATTTGCACATTGATCCTTCTCCACTCATTCAGCTCGGCGTTTTTCTCATGACCTTTTTCTCGTCTGTCCGTATGCTCTTGTTGTAAAAGAACCTTCAACGACTCTGCGCTCCTTCGATGTGAGACACTTTTCATTCTCTTCACATCCTTTCTCGTTCAACCCTTACGGGTTCAACCTCCTCGACCGTTTCCCATCCTTCCCTATGTGATCTCCTTCGTTCTTCCTCTTCTTCTCCACTTCTCCAACGCCTATCTTGAAGTCCCCTATCGTCGTTCTTCTTCCAGTTGCCGCGGTTTCGTCCTTTCCGTTCCCCTCTATCTCTACTTACTTTACCTTTGTCAGGCGGCTTGAACTCTCTTCCATCCTCATCACCGAATTGTTTTCCTAAATGACTTCCGGGTACTTCTTTCCCTAGTTTCTCCAACACCCCAAGTAGATGAGCTTTGGCACCCGGTCCCAGTCTGGAAACCCAATGTCTCTGTTTGAGCGAACGACACCCTTTTAGTGGGCATGTTCTCCACAACAGACTCTTTTCTCTCGATAGGTAGAGTCCCTATGAATAGACCGCATCGTTCCATCTCACCGAGAAACCCATTTTCTATCAATGGTTCAGATGTCGTCTCAAAGCGTCTTGCAAGGGCCACTAACGTCTCTCCTTCATAGGACCACTAAGTCTTCGACTGAGTACAAGATATCGTTGCGAGCAAAGACTCGAGATAATCGTTCTCTGAAAGTTACCCACTTCCCATCTTCGGGTATAGCGGCACGGACATCTTTGTCTAGTTTGAAATCCGTGTGATTAATGAATCCAATTATCGCTTCCCGATTAGTCCATCCTGCTCTCAAGGCATAAACTTCCCAGTCATTCAGGAATTCTGTTACCCGATGCCCAGTGAAATAAAGAGTCTGACTGAAATCCGATAGTTCGTAGGATAAAGGACCATATAGATTCTGTATCCCATAGTATATGGACTTGGTCCACATGGTGGCTCATATCGTCCTTCTCGCCGAGTCTCTCCTACTCCGTTCGTCAACCTTTCTCCTCCATTAGAACTCTCCACCCCCATCTTTCTCTCATGGTCTTTCCCCTTTTTCGTAGTATCTCCTTCCCTGATTCCATTCGCGCCCCATCCAGCTCATTTGTCAATCCAACTTATCAACGAACAAATGGTTACGATATTCTCTCTGATGCTTGTGCAACCCACTCTCGACTGGTGAGGTCATAGACCCACACGACAGGCCGCCGTCGAACGCTCCTAAACCCATCAAGACGTCAACAGGCCTAGGAAAGAACCGCCCTCTGTCGTATCTCTCCCCACCCTCATGTCGTGAAGGAGGATTGTCCAACGTACCATCATCGCTGGCCTGCCATCTCCGCCGCAACCTGGACACGAGCTGGCCAACTCATGCGTCTCAGGGTGGACCGAAGTCACACGCGAACGAAGTGACGGTATCTTGCTCATGCATCCTCACTCCTGTCCATGCCTCTACTCGGCCCACCTCAGACATGGTCTCTCTTCCCGACTCGTGAAGTGAATCAATCCCCCTAGCTATCCATCAGGATCAACTAGCCTATCTAGCCCCTGTCCAACTCCTTGCAATCCGGGATGCTTCTCCCCTCCCCTTCAGTCCCTCCAGGTCTTCCCCTGCTTATAATTTTTCTCTCTTGGAGTCAGATCAGGGTAGACTGACCAAAGGGTAGGGTAAAAAAACCAGAATTATCTCGCTCGATCACAATCACAAGAAGGATGAAAGGAAGAAATGCATGACATGGACCAAATGCAAGAATCAAGAATATCACGAGCATTGCAAAAGTGGACGTCTCACCGGGCATGCCGATCGCTGGTTGGCTGGTGGCTCGTCGTCCGCTCCGCTCTAGCCGTGCTCCTCTTTTGATCCTCTAACGTCCCCGCGGTTACAGGCGGACCAAAGTCCCAAAAGGCAGCCTTCCCCGGGAACGGCACCACTGTCGACCGGTAGAAGTGATCTGCCGGCATGCCGACCAACCCTATACCTCGCGCCTCGTCTGTCACCCACGAGAGGGCTGGTTGGGGCTCCTGTAACCTGCAAGAAATCAACCTCGTTAGTATCACCTAAACACGCTAGCACCGCGAAATACGGCAGGAAACTTCCAACGACGAAACAAATCGTAGAAGCGACCAAAACGAGTGTTTTTACTTAGTTCAAATAATATGATAGTTTGCATTGCGACCGGCACTTGGGGTCTTGTCCATAACAAGAGTCTCTAAGGTTCACCCGAGTCTCGACAGAACGCGGCTTCGCCATGAAACGGACTTGATGCGTAAAAAGACCCGGCACATGTACGAACAGCCCCGACACTAGTGCAAATAAGACTGGTGATTTAAAAGGCCGGGCGCTTTCGCAGCACTCGCTCGGGATACCGGTGGTGGATCCGTCTTCTTCCCGGTCGGTGAGCCGGCTCTGAACCGCCCGGCTGTAAGAAAGGCGCCACCTTGGTCCGATCTGCTCTGGCCCGGTCTAATCTGGCCTGATAGGGTATGGTCTGCCTGCCAGTCTTGTCTGATCCGGTCTGGTGCAGTCTGGTCTCGTGTGGTCTGATCTGCCAGTCTGGCCTGGTCTAATGTGGCCCGATCGGTTGTGGTTTGCCTTCCAGTCTGGCAGTCTGGTCTGATCCGGTCTGGTGCAGTCTGGCCTCGTGTGGTGTAATATGGACTGATCGGGTATGGTCTGCCTGCCAGTCAGGTCTGATCCGGTCTGATGCAGTCTGGTCTAGTTCTGGTATGGCCTTGTCTGATCCGGTTTGGACCGGCTGATCTTGACTGATCTGGTCTGCCCCGGTCCGGTTCCGTCCGGTCTGATTTGATATGGTCTGGCTTGGTCTGGTGAGGACTGGTCTGACTCGTCCGATCCTGTCTAACTTAGTCTGAGCTGGTTTGAGCTGTTTCTCGTTCGGTACGGCCTTGTCTGGTCTCGTCTGAGCCAGTCCGTTCTGTCCAAGTCTGATCTGGCCTGGTTTGTTGTCATCTGCTCTGATCAGGCTCAGCCCAATCCGGTTGTAATCAGCCTCCGTTCGCCCGCGCACAGTTCAGTCTTTCGGCTGCGGATCCTCACAATGGTTGATAGGGACAACGGATATCTCGTTAGTCGAATCACGCGCGTCACTAATTAGATGACTGCAAACAATCTTCTTTTCTCGTTGCTTCTGTCAAGCCCGTTTCCGCGACTGTGGTATCGCAAGATGCTAGATTGGGGCAAGGTCACAATGCCTTGTTCTGATGGAGAAGTTGGATTCTCCTCGTATCTCTCTCCCTCGTATCTCTCTCTCTATCGTCTCTCACCTGTGATCACTTTCTAGTACCTCATGCACATTAACTTAGTATAAAGCGCACAAATCTGGACGGCAGGGAGGGTTAGATTCATGCACCTCCAGCGGGCGCGAATGTGGATATCCTCCTGCGCCCAAACACACACACTCCTGTGCTCTGAGACAGCCGGTTCAAGCACTCTCCTATCCCCCCCCCTGCACTCTTTCCCTCTTTCTCTCTCACCCTTTCTCTCTCTCCCTCTCTCACCTGCTCTCCCGCTCTCTATCTCGCAAGGGCGGGATTCGATTTACTCCTCCACGCGATCCAATAAACAACCTGTTCACAATTCCCTCCGTCGCGCGCTGCTTTGCTTCCTCGTGAGTGATCGCATCTCCCCGTGTCTGGCGATCCCACACCCCCGCACACATACCTTCGGCTTTTTGCCGCGCGCGCAGTCGATTGGGTCTCATGCGTGAGCTTCGGTAGCTCCAGCACAGCTCTCTGGCCCGCGCGATCTCTTCTGCCAGCGCATATCTCTCTCCTCGCTGCTGCTCCTCCTTGCTGCTATCCTCTCTCTCTCCCTCTCTCTCTCTGCGCTCTTGGGCTCGCGTTGATAGTAATCCACCTGCGTAGTCCCTGCCACGGTTCGCGAGCCTCCCCACTCTTTTTCTTACTATCGCGCACCCAGCCTCACGGTACCCCCTCACTCTCTCTCGCACACCAGCTTTCCTCTCCCCGCG